GAGCTACGATATTAGTTACTAAAAATGAGAAAAGATGCCACATATTTCAGTATTTACACAAAACAGTATTAATAAATATATACGAAAAATTTTGATCGAGGAATGAAAAAAACAATGAAGATTTCTCAATATATATTTAAAAGTTTTTATATCTGTCTAATAACTTAACAATTCCATTCCAGGCTTTTTTTTGAGACGATCGAACTCTATGTCTTAGTGTTAATATTTAGTACATGTATTTAAATCTGAATGCATATAGCAGAGGTAGTGCAAGTACAACAAGTAAAAATATTTTACCTGTATTTTAAATAATGTATTTGTATTTAAGCACAAAAAACTAGTCTTTTGTCTGTACTTAAATACAAAAACAAAGGATTCGATATTTTTGCTTAATGTATCAATATAATAAACTTTATGTTTAAAGTTAACTATCTCTAATACATTTTTCAAGACCATCATGACATCATATAATCAATAAGTAAATGAAAATAAGAATATTTCAATGAAATTTCTTTACTAATAAATTTACTACAGAACATTTATCTACTTTCATTGTTCGAGTTTCTTCAAAATTATAATGTATATCTATAAATGGTAATACTCGTTCGCTTTGCTATCATAGATAAATATAGTTCTCAATGATACTAAGAAGAGTTTACGTGAGCTGAGATCTATACTCTAGAAACTACGACAGATTATTGCTTTGCTATATTTTCGAATCGTTGATAGAGTTTTTAAAATATTGACTGAAAGGATTTTCATATAAAATATTGATAAAGAATTCTTGAATAAAATCTTAGATTTCCCTAAAACTTAAGGTTAAAATCCGTAATCATTTTTAACAATATCAAACTTAAAATACATGCAATTTATCAAATCGATTTTAATATGTTCAAAATAAATATCTGCATTAATAGAAACTTATAGAGTCATTTGAAAGTCATTCGATTCTGCCAAAGGCTAATTGTGTTTCTAAATTGAACATCTTTTATTCGTTATGCAATACAATGTAAATATACAAAAAGTATTTTCTATAAAAGAATTTCCAGATTTTCAATAATAAGTAGAATCTCGAAAATTCATTTCAATTTATAAACATGATACGTCAAACAAGCAAAACGATATTGTTATGTAATATAGATAAGTACAAAATACAAGTTTTTGTATTTAAGGACAAATATGAAGGTGTTGGCCTTGAAGTACACCTCATGAATACTTGTACTATTACGTCGTACTTGAAAAGTGCAAGTACAAAAATTTTCGTTCGACCTCTGATTCATAGTGAAAAATTATCGTTTCGTTACTTTTGACTGATTCAGAAAGTCTGTTTTCACATTTATTTAATTATTTATTATTAATATGTTTTAGAAATATGATAAGATTTCCAAGCGAATTGAAGAATTAGATCAACAATACGCAGAAAAACGCGTAACAATCATGAGTGTTGTTAGTTTTTTTGTTTTGTTTAACTGTATTTTATTTTTTAAGAAAAATCAAGTGAATGAATATGCACGAACTAAACAAGAACGTGATGCTGATGAAAAGTATTAAAATATTTTCCAGAATCAAAAAAAAAAGAAAAACAAACATTGAATTTCGATTGATTTCTGTTTATAGTTATTGGGAACGACGATCAGAATATACACCTGAATCACGTATTGAGACACATGAAAGTTTGAAAAAGAAACGTGAACGTGAATCAAAAGAGTTTGTAGTTAAATATCAAAAGATACAATCATTTTATTTGTTGATTCTGTGTTTTTTTAAAGAACAAAAAGCGAATCGAAACCTGTACGCCAATATATCGGTGATGATGGTCGACCATTCAATTGTAATGAACCTAAGTATATCATCTTTAATTTTTATCTTTGACGAAAAATATTATATTATTTATTCTCTAGAGTTGATTTTAAATTGTACGAAAGTGATGATGATCAATATATTATTCTTGATATTGCTGTTTTTCGTCATATGGATACATCACTTATTGATGTTGATGTTCAACCTACTTATATTCGAGTGACTATTAAAGGAAAAGTATGGATTTTATAGATTACATTTACGTATTATTTTTCTGTTTTTGATTCATAGATTCTACAATTGGTCTTATCTGAAGAAGTGAATACAACACTTTCAGTAGCTGAACGATCTAAAACAACGGGACATTTAGTTATTAAAATGCCCAAAGTAAAAGAATCCAATACTTCAATTGAAATAAAATCTCAAATTGAGAATAAAATTCAAGATAAAAAATCGTATGCAATGTCCATATCGTTAAATTAATGTTATTCTTTTATTTTTAAACTTTAGTTCTACACCATCATCTGCAAAATCATCAACATATCTTGAACTTGGTAAAGATCCGTCATCGACTGTTGATTATACTCAAATTGTAAATCAAAATAAAAAAAATTCACAATTAAAACCTAAAACTAATCCACCAAAAGAACGAGAGAATTCATCAGATTTTATTGATGATCCTGATGTACCTCCTTTAATCTAATTCATTTTTTTTTCTCGCAAATGTTATTTGTTAATAAAAAGTTTTTAAATTTCTTGTTATCAAAACTTATATAAAAAAAAAGATTTTTTCTTTCATTAAAATCTTATCAATAAGCTGAGAATATTTCTATTTCTGTAGAACGATTCATCAGAAACATTTGAAATTTTCACGGTAGATAGATGTTGACGAGTAGAGAACAAACGATACTAGAATAAGATTTTCCGAATGTTGCCTTTTATAACATATTGAATTTATAATTAGTCATAATGATCACTTTTCTAGGCTCTATATCTTCGAGATACTACTTTTGATCGAGTTCAAAATTTTTTTTTAGACGTATTGAACACGATTTTTGGGTGAGTATATATTTTTTTTTTTTGCTTGTCATATATTATTTGTTGTTTCAATAAGAGGATTAAAATAACAGGCGTAGTCTAAAAAATAATCTGTTTTTCTTTATCAGAACAAAGGTTGTGAAAGCTTCTAAAAATTACCAGAACAATAGCTTTTGCAAAAAAAAAAATATCCACACCAAATAGTAACTAATAGGCATTTGAAAGAAAAAAAAGAAGAAGTGTGAGTATCTTTGGAATAATTTTTGATAAAAACTAGATAGACAGCTGTGATGTTTACCATGTGAAAGAGGAGATGAAACTGCATCGAATCGTAGATATCAGATTTTTCTGACAAGTTTTCTCACAGTCTTTTGCCAATTTTTTTTTTTTTTGAGAAATTGCCAAGCTTTTGAATAGGTTTATATGGTAGGTTTTTCGTTACAAAATGAGAAAATAGGTCAGTTTTTTATGAAGAAACCTATCGAAAACACGCAGTAAAATGTATATAACTCATGATTACCTAAATCTTTCAACGTTAGATTTACATAATTTTTAGATCTTCAGTTATTGATTCTAGTGTACTCCTGAAAACTAAAATTGTAAAACTTTTCAATTAAACAATATTTTGTTTTGTTTTTAACAAACTTGATGATAGACTCTGAGAAAACTTGTCAAAAAAAAAATCTGGTATATATGGTTCGATGCAGTTTCATCTCCTCTTTTAATCAGCGAAAACCGCAGCTTTTTATCTAGTTTCTATCAAAATTTATTCAAAAAATACTGACATTTTTTCTTTTTTTTCTGACATGAATATAAGTATGTATATAAAAAGTATAGTTCGATGACCTTTTACATGCCAAAGAAACAGGGGCGAAGCAGTACTTTTTTGTATAAAATTTATTTTTGAGAAAAATGCAAAACAAAACTAAATGTTAATTTTCTCCTAAATATTCATCTTTGTTTTCTTTTCTATTTCACGCTTTTATAATTTTTTGACGACCGATTATTTGATAACATAGTTTTATACGTTCCAAGAGTACATTTTTTTTAATGCTTATCAGATTTCCATACCTAAACACGTATGAATAATATATTTCTTGTTGACTATATCTCTGTTTCATTACCAACGAAAGAATTTAAAATTAAGAGTAAACTACATCGAAAATACTGACTTTTCAACCACTAATTATGAATAGTGTTGAATATTAAAAATAAATAACCTAATGTTACTAGAAATAAGTTTGAAATCGAAAATTTTCGATTTCTTCATATTGATTCTATTTACAATAAACTAGATCAACTGTCTCAAACTGAAGCCGAACGTTCTTTTCATGCGTCGCAACATGTGACTATAACATAATCATGTGATAAAAATAGAGTAGCTATAAGCAAATTAAATTCATAGACGAAATATTTAAAAACAGAAAGGTAAAAAGTATATTTTTGTTTAGATAAATGGAGTGCTACAAATTTATTCGTTTCAAAGTCCAAATGCTGTTAAAAATAACTTTTTTTTTGCAGATCAATAGATACAATTCCAAAGTATACATATATGTATACCAATAAAAAAAAAACAAAAAATTGAAAAAATTTTGATTTTTAGGCCTAGAAAATGAAGCGGAGATAATCTTAATATAGATGAAATTATTTGATTTGAAAACGATATCATCGTATCATTCCTTTCAATAAATGACCTTCAGTTTATTTGTCCTTAAATAACAAAACTTATTTTTGGCTACAGATGTTTTTTTTACCCTATAAAGTAATTGTAAATTTTCTTTTCAAACATCATACACTCTCAAAATTGATTTATTCTAGTAAAGAAATTTTTCTTTCACATCTTGAAATAATTTCTACTAATAAATAATATCATCATTGAATACTAATTTCTAACTTTATATTCATCATAAAAAAATCTGTTTATGTTACATAAAAAGAAAAATAAACCAAATGTACATAATCACATACATACAATGACAAAAAAAAAATGTCGAAAAAAAACCATCAGTTTCTTTTTTTTCTAATCTATATAATGTATAATACATTATGTCGATCGTATGTTGTTGTTTTTTTTTTTTGACTAGTCAATAATTTAGAAAGAAAAAACTTTCCCGAGTTGCAAATAAAATGTACAATATTAATGCATGTTGCTGGTTATTCTATCAAGATAATAGTGTTGATTTTGTATGACGTTTTTGATGTTTAGCCAAATGATCACTTCTTATAAATGCTTTTTGACATACGGAACAAACATGTTTTTTTTCTCCAGTGTGTCGTCTTCGATGTCTACTTAATTCATCCGAACGTGCAAATGTTTTGTCACAATTTGCCCATGAGCATGAAAATGGCTTTTCACCTATAAAAAAAAGAAAGATGTTACAACGAAATCAGAAAGAGTTATTTTTAGTAATATGCGTCGATATTTTCTTCCTGTTCCTCTACAGCATGTTGTAGAGTGCATTGTTCTCGTTAGAGAGAAAATAATAGGTACAGCTATCTTCCTTTTCTTTTGACGTCATTAAAAAGCAATAGTAACCCATTATTATTTATTCTCTCAAAATTATTAGGATAGTGGTTTAAAAGACTGAAATATGTCTACCCATTTTCTTTCCATAGAAATGATGAAAAAAAAGTCAACAAGAGACAGCTGCCATTAGGACAATAATAATAGAGTAATATGAAATTCAGCCTTACCAGTATGTAAACGAACGTGTGCTTTAAGATGCGATGATTTGAAATATGATTTACTACAACCAGCATATGAGCAAACATAGTTCTTTTTCCGATCTGATGTTAAGGATTGTTTTCTTGTTATAGATTTTGATATTGTTGGGTTTGTTGATTGTGATGTTGTTTGAACTATAAATGAAGTTTGAGCAATAGGAAGATATGCACCATTGAGATTAAGATAAAGAATGTGATATTCTGGATTATTACTATCTGTTGTTGGTGGAGAATATATTGGAGTTGTACTTGAAGAAGGTGGATATGATTGGCAATCATCATTTGATAAAGAACATGGAGATGTGCATGGTGTAGATGAAATATCAGATAATGATTCATCCGATGTTGAAGATAATGAACCAGATCGAGGCTTAAGTTCTGAATTATTTGATAATGTTAAATTATCAAATGTCGAAAGTGAAATATTAGTTGGTTCACCAATATACTAAAATTTAAAAAAGAAAATCTTATTGAAAAAAAAAAACGAAAATTTTTAGTTTTTTTACATACTGGTCGAAATTTTGGATGAAGTTTTCTTGGTTTTTGGGCATTTGAACTGAATGATAATAATAATTCTGCATCTTGAACACTTACTGTTGAAATCTATATAAATTTTTTTTTAATGCATATATTCAAGTCCAAAGTTTAATAAATATAATACTTACTGCGTCAATTCCTTGTGTAGTTTTATCTGTATGATTCATTCTAATCAAATTATTTTCTTGTGGGTGCATGATAGGTTTTGTTTCAGGTAATGAAACAATTTCAGTTTGTTTTAAATTTGTTTTAAAACAAAGCGATGAAATCGAGGATGAAAGTTGAATCATGAATTAAGCTCTTTATATTCTATTGATATATTTATACGAGTACTGCTAACTATAATTGTGCGCATGAACTGTGCATATAAGCAATATGGGAGAAAGAAACTCAAGCATACCATGCATTCACCGCATGATCATAAACACAATCAGTCAATAATCACGCACTGTTGGCGTATGAAGAAAGAAAGAAGCATACATTGGACCATGCCCTATTCTCATATAGAACAGAACAAAACACACCCCTATAAAAGAGGTGTGCGTAAAAGAACGACGCAAAGAACACGCACTCAGTAGCTGATCAATATAGGTTTTTTTTATTGAAGGGAAATAGAAAAAAAATACACAGGGAAAAAAGATGATGAAATAACAAATAGCGACGTAAAAAAAGTTGTTATTGTATAATATTTATAAAAGAGAACGAAAGAGGAAAAAAATCGTCCAATCACATTGAATAAATTACGACTTAAACGAGTAGATATGAGAACCTTCAAGTTCGGAAAAATAAATATTCTTTAATGTTATCATGTGAAAAACATGTGAGAGTAATAAGCCCAAGTGGTACGTCGCAAAAAAAAACTTCATAATCAAGAGACTTGTTTTAATATAATATTCTCATTGAATATATATCTGCATAGCAAAAAATTCAATTGTTACAAATTATATTCAATAAAAAAAAGAAAAAAATGAACACATCTATAATAATGAACAGATAGATTAATTTTAGTTATGATGCAGATTACAAATTCATGTTAATTTATAGAAAGACTTAGTACATGTCATTGTGACATGTTATATTTTATCTTCCAAAATAGCAGCAAGATGACAAGCGATGCAATAATCTATTCATAAAGATGCGATATTATATTTGTATGAGACAATAAAGATAAAAAGAAAACATATTTTATTAAGCAGTTAAATCAATAGATATGTCATACAGTTGTTATATTGAACATAAAATGCAATCACATTCTAGATTAATTTTTTATTTCATCTTAAATCAGTATTTAGTCTAGTATTTTAAATAGTTGATGACTAATTTCATATATCACACCTCTAAATATAACTTATCTCAAAAGAGTCAAAGATACAACACAACAAACTACGCATTCATGTAATATCAAATAAAATTCTTTTTATTTTATTACGCATATTCTATTCACAAGACTCTTTTTCACGACGACAAAGCAAACCAATTTATACGCATATCAATAAATTGTTTTCTCAGATAAGATATCCTTGAATGTAACTGCTTGCTTTAGATTTTTTTTCACGAGTGCTCTCAACAAAATGCCGCAAAAAATGATTCATCTATATATATATATGCATGTTGATTCATCAGTCATGTTGACCTAATTCATCTTCTAGTTTATTTATAAAAAAAGAAATTTTCATAATTTAATATACAATAAAAACCACAAATATCTTTTATTGAACAAGAAAAATTCTACGTATTCACATATAGTTGAATTCCAATTGTTTTAATGATTTTTAAAGAAAAAAATATATAAGACACATGCCACACGTTCTTTCGTGTTTTTTTTTTTTGACTGCGCAATTTATTTATTTACTGATTTGCTCTGATAGAACTTATTTAAATACAAAGAAAAATTCAATACCATACACTGATGACATCTCAATAATGAACCTTCGTAATTTTTATTATCTCCAATCCATGAAATTTTATTGCTAGATAGTTTATTGCTAAAAATATTTCTTTTTTTTTTTAATTAAATATAACACAAAATGAGTGAAAATAAAATATTATTAATAAAAACATGTTTCGAAAGTCTAAGTACAGAATTATTAATGTTAATATTTGATTATTTAACATCAATTGAAATTTTAGTTACATTTTTTAATTTAAATAAACGTTTTCGTTTAATTATTTATTATTATTTACAATCAGGTTATCGTTTAACACAATTTAATTTAAATCATACAAATTATTTAACATATAAACATTTTTGTAAAGATATTTTACCAAATTTAAAATCAACAATCACATCATTTCAACTCGGTAGTAATTATTATTATGGACAAATTGATTATTTTAATCAATATCAATTAATACGTCTTGATTCACTTACAATACGTTTAATTGATCCAAATATAATTATTGATATTATTCAAAAATTTCTTAATTATAATCGTTTGCAATGGTTTGATAAAATAAATTTAATTATCGATGAAGAAACTATAGGATGGAATGAAAAAATGCCTTTTTGTGTACAAAATATACCTGTTAGAGAATTAAAGATTACAGGCAAGAACGAAATTTTAAATAGAATTTGATGTACAACTTAAATTAGAGCATATTCAAAAAGAACCATCAAAGTCAAATACATGTATTTGAAATAATCTAAAGTTAACACTATTCAACACAAAAAACTTCTATCAGATAGTGTCAAATCTTGTCTATTCAATTTTCTCGTGTATTTCAAGTTTTGAAAACAAGTTTATTTTTTTGTTTTATAAAAATTCACTTACGATGAATCATTTTAAAGATATTCAAATAATTTGAAAGTTTTTTTTTTTTCAAAAAATTTTCCTATTCCCTGTTTCAGAATCATTTTTTTATATAAGCAAAAGCAGTCATATGAATCTTTATTTCTTGCAGGTAAAGTTCCATATGTCTTTGCTCAACATTTAATGACAGGTTGTTATTCAATTACACATTTAACTATTCATCTAAAATTTGATCATGGTAAGAATATCATATGTAACTCTCCATAAATGAATCTTCATTATTTTTAGATCTACTTCCTCTTCTTTATTATTTACCAAATCTAATTGAATGTAATGCATATGTTGATCAGCGTGGTCGTGATATATCGAATGATTTAACACTTCTTGCGCCACTTCCTTCTTTAAAATATTTTAAATATGAAGGACTTATGCCACCAATTTATTTACGACGTTTAATTATTGAAATTAATCAACATATTGAATATTTATCTATTTATACACAAGATTATCAATGGTCATTTCATTCATCCGAAGCATTTTCTTCTGATTTTTTTGATCATTTATATGATTTACGAATACTTCATTTTTATATTCGTCTAATGATTTCAGATGGTTTTGTTAATATAACATCATATTTTATTGATACAAAACATTTAATAAATAGAAATTTATGTCATAATATAGCATGTGTTCTATCAAAAGATATGGGACAAGTATTTTCTTTACCATTTGGATTTAATCATTTTGAAATATTTGAAAAAAAATTTTTTACTCAAATTCAATATTCTATATATGAAAAAGAAAATTTCAATGAAAATTATTGGAGTAATATAAAACATCTTACATTACATATAAATATTTATGATTCATTATTATTACAATTAATAAAAGAAAAATTTACTAAATTACGTTTAATTGATTATCAAGTTCCTCATTTTAGTCTTATACCACAAGATAATGAATTACATCAATATAATATTCAACTCGGTGAGTTTATTAGAAAAACATCTAATATAGAAAACATATTCAGGGATGAGAAAATATCTCGATAAGTAGAGCAAAAATTATCATAGACTCGAAATTCTCAAATATTTTCTTCAGGAAGATATGAAAGTCACAAAGAAAAAAGATGTATGGAAGTTTTTCCTGTCAACAAAAGTTTATATTCATTTTTTAAGCTGTAATGTTTTTATGAGGACTATGATCGAATTGGAGTACTTGTTTGTTCTTCTTTTGAAAATATCGTTCCTTAAGCTCAGCAGAAACAAAATACTGGAATAACCGTCAAAAAGCGTACTTTTCTCAATCGTATTAATATTTTAAGATGTATCGAGTTTCATTAGAAGAACATTTTGAAACAAAAAAAACTATTCATACAACTTGGGCTGAAGTATCAACTATAAAAATTTGGACCCAATCGGGCGTATTGTGTGGAAGAAAAATGGTCGTCGTCAGCGGTGTTAGAGGACTATTATCCATGCTCTCAGAACTTTTGGAATAAGAAATAGCTCCTATCAATAGGGGAATTTTACATACAAAGGATAGTCATAACGCCAGCTTCTCTGCTCTAGATCTTCTTGAGAGTAAAGATGTGAAAACTAATATTTTTCTGGACACACTCGTTTTATTTTTCTGTCTATAATTTTATTTTAATTTTAGGTGCTATAAAGAAGCTTATAATTCGTGATAGTGTAAAACATGGATGTCATGTGCCGCAACCACTTTTTCTTCTTACATCAAATCTTATTGAGCTTGAAATAGATCATTTTTATTTAATGCAAATTATTTCAATTGTTAGTCAACAAACACAATCACATATATTATCAACATTTGCTCAACTTCGTCGTGTAACAGTTCGTCAATTTGATGAACGTATCACTGATTATTTTTTTTCATATTTTTCTCATATAAAAATCTTTGCTCTTATATTTACAACATATAAAATGCAAGTCTATCGTAATAAATTACCATTTCTTGATAATCTTCTCAATTCAATGCCAAATTTAATTAGTCTAAAATTAGAACATATAAAAAAACCACAAGATTATCATGCATATATTGAAATGCAAAAAAATGTTGAAGAAAAATTTTCTGAATACTATTCAAAGAATATTTATTGGTGTAAATGGTACAATGACCATACACAAAAAGATCATAAATATGCAACATTTCTATTTTCAACATAAAAAAAAAGAATTTCTTTTTTTTTCTTTTATTAAATTTATTGTTCGTCATTTAATGTCTGCTCAGGAGTTTTTATAGTGTCAAAAATCTTGTTTAGCATGATTATGCATATGTGTGATAATGACTTCTTTTCTCTAAATGTATATATTATTCACATCTAAAAGAAATTAAACTAATCTCTTTATTTAGTATATTCATCTGATGATAAAATTTCAATTCTTTTAGATGAATGAATCACTATCATCAACAACAATGGAACAATCGGATTCTAGATATTTTTCACAACGAGCAAAACATATTTCTTTATTACATGAACAATCTCCATCTGTATTTGTTAAACCACCGTTATTAGAAAC